ATAATTCCTTGTTACATTTTACCCCAAAATCAAACAAAACGGATATATTTTGCTTAGCAAAAATAAGATTTTTTGTATCACGGCATTATTCACTCACCCTCAGGCTATCCAAGATGTAGATGAGTTTGTTTCTTCATCAAATTTAGAGAAATGTAGCATTAAATCACTTGCTCACCAATGGATCCTCTGCAGTAAATGGGTGCCGTCAGAATGAGAGTCCAAACAGCTGATAATCCACAAGTAACCCACACCACTCCAATCCATCAGTTAACATCTTGTGAAGCCAAAAGCTGTGTGTTTGTAAGAAACAAGTCCATCATTACTGTGTTTTAACTTTTAAGCCGTTGCTTATGGCCAAAATATTAGTCCATAATCCATAAGAACGCTTCCTCCAGTGAAAAAGTCCATCCCCTGTTGTCAAAATCCACCCACATATTTGTTTAGAGCCATTTTCACTTGTAAACAGTGTGTGACCTGTGCATATTTCTTTCCTGATTCAGACGAGATGACCTTTTCACTGGAGAAAGCAATGTTATGGATATAGGACTTGTATTTATCAGCTCTCATTCTGACGGCACCCATTCACTGCAGAGGATCCATTGGTGAGCATGTGATGCAATGCTACATTTCTCCAAATCTGTTCCCATGTGGACTGAGGGTTAGTAAATTTAACATACAGTAACTGTACGAGTTGGCAAACAGTAAGAATATAATGCTATAAAATTACATCTACAGTTCAATCTTCTGAATTTCTAAATGAGACATGTGAGACTGGGGTGAATGTTCTCAGGAGAAACATCTAAGAAGCAGGAGACTTCAGCTCTCCATTTAATCTCAATGCAGTACCTGCAAATACTGAGATGTTAAAGAGATCTCATTGGCTAATAGTCCTTTCTATAAGTTTACACCTGGGAAATTATCCTAATTAAATAAAAAATAGGAAAACAATCCATGTATTTGTTGTCCTCCCAAAAGGAAAGGCTATTTACAGCATTTCTGCTTACGTATGTTTCTAAGGTTTCATCCTCCGAGCAGCAAGCAGGAGGAAAATATGCTATGAAATATTCAGCGCGTATTGCATGTCTCAGCTGGGTTCTGCCAACAACACCTTCACTATTAAAGTTCGACCCACACGCGGCATCTCACCATCACGAGTGTAATTACAGGGGAGGGAGGCGCGTTTCTCTGGGGCAATTCAAACACACATGCTCACTACAGCTCCGGCCCACGTTCAGCTGTGACTCAGTGTAATTCCCAAACACTTTCTCCAGTTCTCATGTTCCCCTCGAGTCGATCGAGCAGAGATTCAATTTCAGGATTCATTCTGCACGTGCTTCACATCCGTACGCATTGCAGGCGAGTGTTCTGAAGGAAAACAGAGACACAAAACCTGCTAAAAGTAACAGAGGGGTAGACAAAATATTTATCTCAGCTCATTTTTATTTAGTTTAACTTGATGTACTAAAATAAGCAAAACTTAAATGAATATGAAGAGTTTATTTGCAAAAACAACTTCAAATTTAAATTTTTCAAAAATCATGCTTTTTATTATGTTATCATGTTTTTATTGTGGTTAATTGTGTTAGTTAGCTGTTTTTTTAAAGTAATTTTTTAACCTAGTCAAAATAACCCAGCTGCAGTTTGATTGAGATTAATTGGAATGCACAATGAAAAAACATGATTTTTGAGAATTGTTAAAAACGGAGTTATCTGTTTTTGCAAATTAACTCTTTTTACATACATGCATACATACAAACAGTATATATACATATATAATTTATTTATTTATTTATTATATATATCATTGATGATTTGTTTTTAAATTCACATAAGTGTAATATATACATTTTTGTATTTAACAGTAATTTACATAGCAAGTTAAAAAATAAATACAGTAAATAATAAATATAGTAAATGCATATTTAATACAATTAGCAATTAAAGTAATTATATTGCATTGAAGTAATGAGAATTGAGTGGAAATTGTGCTTAATTTGGCATGGGCTTTGTCTGTAAGCAAATATCATTTATAATTTCTTTGTTTTTATTTTGAGGTGACATATGACTGGGAAATGTTTTCGACAGGTTTTATGAGATTCGCCCTTTAGCTGATATGTAGTTTGGGTCAGGTTTAGATAGAAAATGAGAAAATGAGAAATAATCTAAGCAGACTTGACTTTCTGTAAAGAAAATATCTGCAGCACAACTAAATAATTACCTTCAGAGTGAAATAGTCAAAGTCCTCAAGCTACTGACAAATAATTGGTAAATATTTATCAAGTATAAGCCAGATATTTTATATAAGATTAGCTTTTGTATTTTTATACTAAAAAAGGGGGAATGTGTTAAGATTAGATAGCGTGAGGTTCATACTGTATGACTTGTTGAAATGAAGAATGAAGCCTGGGATCAGTTTTCGATGTGTTTCCCCCAGTGGATCTGAAGTGTGAGAGCGGCTTTCATTTCAAAGCATATATTTTGTTACGTAACATTTGACAGCACATTACACTGTACGTGTGAAGCACTTTGTGTCACTGGGACGTATTAGCAACGTATGATAAACAACCAGTTGGCGGTGAATAATAAACTGCTATTGACTGTTGAGATCAATATTCTCATTCATATTTAATGGATCCCCAAGGGTTTGCAAACAACTGCCCCACTGCCATTGTTTACCTATTTTCTGCTGAGAAATATATATAGCTACAGCATATATGAGACGCTATAGTTTGGTTTGGTGGTCGTGTCCATCAGATGCCTGATACATACCTCATAACTTTCTTTTTCGTGTCTTAAAATGACTTCATTGAAGTAGAATAGACCCAAACTCTGATGCGACACACATCCGAGCACCATATGCTGTGTTAAAACACTGAGAAACGTCCAAAATATATGAACAGAAGAACTGTGTAACTGTATATAAACTGTATGATCATGGATATGTTCATTTAGGGTATTTTTTGTAAGCTTTTTTTTTTTTTCTACCAAAAGCGTTTGAGAGATCTGAACTGCACGTAGATATCCTCTCAAAGTCTGCATGCAGAATCCTCTCTCTGTAAGTTCTGTTTACAAGTGTAAGATAGATGGATTTCTGTATTTTTTTTTAATGAATATAGTTGTATGTGAGTAGACGGGTCAATCGGATCCTGTTCACTGTTGTCTGATCTGTAACAAACCATTCAAGCATTCCAAACCTCTGAATTTAACATGTCCATTTTCATTAATGCAACATATAGAATGTATATAAATCTATCGACGACTTCTTGTGATAAAACAATAACAGTGTGAATGCAATGTTGACCAATAGAAATATATCTATATGGAAATGTTATAATGAAAAAGTTGTTTTAATGTTGAAAAAAAACCTCGTCTGGTTGTGTATGTACAAGAGACTGTTGGTTTTGAATGTTCTTGTGCTGTTTTTGTGACTATTAAAGTGAATATCTTCTACTACAGTCTTGTGCGCTAATTGTAATTACAGAAATGCTGTACTTTTTTGTAATTGTAAATGCCATTTTTTATCCGGTATAAAATCTTTATTATGTCATATGCAGAAAGAAAAAAACTGATTCATATGGGAAAAAAAACACATACTAGACAACGTTCGTTTTCAGTAGTTGGTGTACAGTAAGCATTTCAAGAATACAGTGTCAAAATGAAGCTGAAGATCCAGTTATTATAGAGTTAATCTCACGAAACCTGTCAGGAATATTCCGTATTTCACCTAAACATAAGAAAATTATAAGGAATTACTGTTCATTTTTAAATAATTTTTGATAAGTCAAATTCTTTAAATTTCTCCTTTTTTCATTAATTTTGGGGCAAAATATGAAATATGCAAGCACATGTTCACATTTTTCTAATTTCTTTTTTTTTCCTTTTAATTTTGGAGCAAAATATGAAATATAAAAGAATGTTCAAATTCTTTTTTTTACATTTTGGGGCGAAATGTGAAATATACAAACACATTCGAAATTTTAAAATTTCTTAAATATTTTTTTTTAATTTTGGTGCAAAGTATGAAATATGCAAGCACATTAAAATTCTTCAAATTTCTTTTTAAAATTTGGGGTGAAATATGAAATATACAACCACGTTCAAATTCTTCAAATTTCTTTTTTTTTGGGGGGGCAAATATGAGATATACAAGCACATGTTCAGATTTTTCAAATTTCGTAATTTTTTTCTATTAATTTTGGGGCAAAATTATAAATATGCAAGCACATGTTCACATTTTTTAAATTTCTTTTTTTTTTTTCCTTTTAATTTTGGAGCAAAATATGAAATATAAAAGAAAGTTCAAATTCTTTTTTTTTTTTACATTTTAGGGCAAAATATGAAATATGCATGTTCACATTTTTCAAAGTTTTTTTTTTTCCTTTTAATTTTGGTGCAAAGTATGAAATATGCAAGCACATTCAAATTCTTCAAATTTCTTTTTAAATTTTGGGGTGAAATGTGACCCTGGACCACAAAACCAGTAATGGTCAATTTTTCAAAATTGAGATCAAAATTGAATCTGAAAGCTGAATAAATAATCTTTCCATTGATGTATGGTTTGTTAGGATAGGACAATATTTGGTCGAGATACAACTATTTGAAAATCTGGAATCTGAGGGTGCAAAAAAATCAAAATATTGAGAAAATCGCCTTTAAAGTTGTCCAAATGAAGTCCTTAGCAATGCATATTACTAATCATAAATTAGGTTTTGATATATTTACAGTAGGAAATTTACAAAATATCTTCATGGAACATGATCTTTACTTAATATCCTAATGATTTTTGGCATAAAAGAAAAATCTATCATTTTGACCCATACAATGTTTTTTTGGCTATTGCTACAAATATACCCCAGCGACTTAAGACTGGTTTTGTGCTCCAGGGTCACAAATATGAAATATACAATCACGTTTTCATTTTTTTATTTCTTGTTTTCTCTTTAATTTTGATGCAGAGTATTAAATATACAAGCATGTTCAAATTCTTCACATTTCTTACATTTTTTAAATTTTGGGGTGAGATCTGAAATATACAAGCACACATTCTTGAAAGGTTTCTTGAGATTGACCATAAAGTTGTTTGCTAAATTGTACATAAATAGTTGAGCTTTTATAATTTACATTCAAATAGCATAATGTAGCTGTTTAAATGTTTCTTGTAAACTGTTTTTGGCTTCATGTGTGGTGTGGCTTCGTCGCGGGATGCTTTGAGCTGTGTGTGTTTCACAGAGAGATGTCAGACGACACGGGAAGCTGCTGAGCTGGTTTCCATTTGGCGCTTCGTCTTCCTCCGTCTGCTCTGATGTACGGCTGCTTCCTCAAGTCTACACACACACACAGAACAGAACCCCCCCCCCCCCGCCGAAGATATCGGAAGATTTTTGAGCTTTTCAAAAACTTGAAAGAAACGGAAACATCAGAGATCTACACGGAGGAACTGAGGGAGGCACTGAGTGTTACAGAAGAGCATAAGTAGATGAAGAGCGATACCTTCAGAGACAGAAGAGAGGAAATGAGAGCGAGTTATAAAGCAGAAGTCCCATCACAGAAACCAGACTCACAGAGCAGACGAGACGAGCGCTTCCCAGAACGAGCCGTAAATGGCACGGCCTGCAGAGCTGAGAACCAGACAGACAGAGCGTGCAGAGAGAAGCATCACGGGAAACAAGACAGGCAGAATAAATACACAATATAGAACGTCAGAATGAAATAACAGACAAAATGATTGAAGAAAGAATTAGAATAGGCAAAGAACTAGGAGGAACGAAGAACACTAGGAGATTTCTGGCCTAATTGAATTTTATATCAAAATACAGTTAGGCTAATGGACTATAAACAAATTTCAATGTATATATAGTATATGAATATTATATTTTTACATGTCTAATATTTGTAGAAATATTTCTGATATTTTTACAGTATAAATGGGTCCATGCAAAATAAAATAAATACAGTATATTTTTATATTTATACTTAAAAAATACTATATATTTACATTTATAATGTTTAAAAAATATAAATAAAAACATAACATAAATGGGTCTTTATACAAACATTAAAATAAATACATTTCAATATATTGATAATAAATACCACATTTACTTTTAGATTTAAATTATAATATAAATGAATCTATACAAATGTATATTATGTAAATATATTTCAACATATTTATAAAAACTATATTTACATTTGTATTATTTATTTGTATAGTATAAATGGGTCTTTATACTAATATTTTTCAATATTTTTGTATAAATAATTTTCCAATATATTTATATTACATATTATGTATAACTAGACATTTATACTATAAATATTGTCATTATTATAAACGTGTATAAAATATTATCTAAATTTGATTCATCTTTTAAGTTGACGGCATCTTTTTCTACTCACCATTAGAGTACTGTACATAAAACTATGGCTGTCAATAGAATAAAATAATTCTCATAATTTCTGACCATTCTTTATGAATGTCAGAATGTCAAATTTAGTCAGTTGTAATTATTTTATGTAATTGAAGTAATTTATATTATATTTTATTTGATCTTATTTTTTCCCCTGAACATTTGGCATAGAGGTATGCATTGGGTTTTATTTGCGCCATTTATAATACAACCCCTAACAATGGTACAATCACATGCTGATTATAATATTCAAAGTTAGGGCATTGGTTTTCTGTCTGTAAGTCTAGCTCAGCCTGACCTGTGATGATGTCCTCGATGGCTCCGTCTTTGCCCTCTCTCACGAGCGGCGTCATCTGCCTGCGCTTCAGCTCTGCGATCAGATCCATCTGAGGGAAGCGTGGCAGCGCCGGCATCTGAACACATCAACAAACCTGTGAGACCTTGATATGTCACTTCCTGTTCTCCGGGATTTCTGTCTCTGTCTGTCGCACGTTACCCTATTAGTCACTGCAGTGTTCACAGGAGAGTCAGAGATGTGTAAATCTGTGCCGAAATCAGTCTCGGAGATGTTCTTCTTGCGCTGTTCCTTCTCCTGTTCGGCCAGCTACAGAGAAAGAGAGACTCATCCATCAGTCAGCACGCTGGAGGAACGACTGGAGAACAAGTCACATACTGTCTATATACTAGATCAGGAGAAAAGGATTGGTGTTAGAAATAGTATGCTAGAGGTGGGATCTTCACGTGGGTTTTTGAAGTAACTATTGTTGAAATAACCTCTATAAGATAATGTAGTATTATTTATATATACTTATAGTATTATTAAGCTTTTTTTCCGTTTTCATTTTAATTTTTGAAGTTGTCTTTATCTGTTTTTGTCATTTTTCTTCTTCTTTTATAATTTATTTGGAATTTATGATTTGTTTATTTATAATTTTTTTTTAAATGTATGTTTATTGTAGTTTTAGTAATTTTATTACTTAAAACGGATTTATTTCAGTTATATACCAAAAGCAGCATTTGTAATTCTCTAATTTTGTTTTTGATTTTATTTTGACGTTTTAGTCATTTTCTTATATATTCTTGTTCTTATGTATTCTTTATTTAGTCATTATTAGTAGTTCTGTCAGGACCACTATCATCAAAATGATAGATACTTAGCATAACGTTTGGTTTGGCGGTATGGTTCTGTTCTGGGCAAAAACCTCCCTGCCCATCCATGCAGCCTGTCATGAGTAGTAGCAGTATTTAAATATTTATCATTCGTTTAAATTTTTTATTTTAGTTTAGTAATTTTAGTACTTTATTTCAGTTAGTTGCCAAGGCAACATTTCTAATTTTCAGGTTTTTAAATCTACTATTTATCATTTATTTTATTTCAGCTTTATTATGATTACTGAAAACAATTTTAATAGGTTTTGTTTTAGTTAACAATAACAACCCTGGCTTATGTTTATGGAGGACCAAACCTGCAGAAATAATAAAGAAATAAATAAATAAATAACAGGAAAATAAAGAAATAAATGACTCATTTCATGTAGGGTTAATGCACTGTAATAAATAAATAAATAAATAGATTATAAATAAAACAAAAATTATGGAGTACATTTTATAATACCATTTCCACTTAAAATTTTAATTCAGTGTGTTACTTGCCATTTCTTTGTAATTATTTGTGAAATTTATTAGCAATTTCTGAGTGAAACTTGGTGCAAAATAATTTCTACAGCTACAGTCTTTGTGATTTTAATCTCTCATTACCAGTATGATATATGCTGATGTGAAATAAGCACTGGGTAATAATTTCATCACCTTATATGCTTTGATAAACCTGGCAAAAACAGGGAAGAACACAGAAGGAGGTGTGGATTTGGGATCCTCTCCGAAATACTCCACCACTGAGTGATAGACCTCCTGTAGAGACACACAGACGATCCAGTCATGTAGAAGCTATTATTCACTGCTGTTCAGAAAAGATTTCACACAGAACTGAACTCATCTCCACCTCTGCAGTTTTGCTGTCTTTGACCACAGAGTCCAGCAGACTGCCGTTATTGGACATGAAGTTTGTGAGGACAGCGCTGTCTTTCTGCTGGAGAAACTCCTTACGCACCACCTCCATTCCCTTCTCCAGAGATCGAACATCTGCAAGGAGAGAAGTTTTTTTTTTATTATTAACAGAAAGATAGTATTCATGGAAATAAAATATTCATATTAGCATATATTACATTGCTAGAAGTTTTCAAAATAAATAAGATTTTATAATAATCTATAAAATTGTACAAAGAAGTGGTTGTTCACTTGTTTTGCTTCAGGACCCATATTATATTATATTATATTATATTATATATAACTGTATAAAATTCATTAATTAGGTTAACTTTTGTCTAACTGTATTTTAGTATAACTGAACTACTATTATAGGTTTTGTTAATATTTTGAATTATTTTTGATTTTTACATTTTCTTTTTTCATTTTAATTTGTAAAAAAAAGTTGTTAGTTAGCTTTTGTAAATTTATTGTGTTTTTGTCATTTTTATTGGTTGTGTTTTTTATTCTTTATGGTAATTTTTATTTCAGTTTTAGTTTTAGTTATTTTAGTACATCAAGTTAAACTAAATGAAAATGAGAAATGTTAAACCGGAAATCAAATGTTTAAATTTTTTACATTACAAATTGTTTAAATGTTTACATTGCAAATTCTTTTTTTATTATTTATTTATATTTATTTTATTGTATTGCTTTAGTTTTAGTTAACGATAATAACCCTGTTTGGAAAGATTAAACAAATTTCAACAGATTACACTCTGAAAATGATACAAAAGTGTATAGAACATTTTTATAAATAAAAAAGTATCATTAGAATTCTATAGAAATTATGAAGAAATTGATGTAAGTGATGATGTAATTGTAACACTGGTTATATGTATTTTTGGATCTTCACCTGTTGTGTTAGCAGCTGGCATAATGTGTAATTCCAGAGAGCCGGATTCGGATCTGTCCATGCGGATCAGACCTCGATCCACCAGAACCTGGACCATCTTCTCCAGCTCGGTCAGAGCTTTAGCGGAGCGCTGTCTGTCTCTCTCTCGCTCCTGCTCTTTCTCACGGTGTGTCTCTCTCTCTTTCTCCTTCTGCTGCAGCTGAGAGAGCTGAGCCTGTGTCTCCTTCACACTGTCCTGGAAACACACATTAAAAAGCTTCACAGCCTGGAAACAGGAGTAAAAGTAAGTGTGTGTGTGTGTGTTTTAGCAAAGTGTGTTACCTTCAGAAGTTCCACCTCTTTCCTACTCTGTATGAGTTGTTTCTCGAGTTCGGACGTCTTCTCCACAGCTTCACTCTCACACTGCTGCAGTCTAGTGTTTAGCTGATATATACAACATACACTGAGTGCTTTAATGTGATTTAGTGTGTATATTTATTCATTTACATAAATGAATATGATGTGCAATATGTGGCATTAAACCAAAATAGAATTAAACCAAAGTGCTGTACAGGATAGATAGATAGATAGATAGATAGATGCATTATTATTTTATTATTATATATAATGCATATTGTTTTTATTGTAGTCAAACAGCAGATACAGGTGCATCTCAAATTAGAATGTCGTGGAAAAGTTCATTTATTTCAGTAATTCAACTCAAATTGTGAAACTCGTGTATTAAATAAATTCAATGCACACAGACTGAAGTAGTTTAAGTCTTTGGTTCTTTTAATTGTGATGATTTTGGCTCACATTTAACAAAAACCCACCAATTCACTATCTCAACAAAATAGAATACTTCATAAGACCAATAAAAAAAAAAAATTAGTGAATTGTTGGCCTTCTGGAAAGCATGTTCATTTACTGTACATGTACTCAATACTTGGTAGGGGCTCCTTTTGCATTAATTACTGCCTCAATTCGGCGTGACATGGAGGTGATCAGTTTGTGGCACTACTAAGGTGGTATGGAAGCCCAGGTTTCTTTGACAGTGGCCTTCAGCTCATCTGCATTTTTTGGTCTCTTGTTTCTCATTTTCCTGTGTGCACTGAATTTATTTAATACACGAGTTTCACAATTTGAGTTACTGAAATTTATTACTGAAATAAATGAACTTTTCCACGACATTCTAATTTATTGAGATGCACCTGTATATACTGTATGTACTTGAAAACATTTGTATCAGAACTATATTAGGACAGATTTCTATCAATATAGGTTGCAGTAGTTGTGTGTGTTTTGGGTGTGTGTACCTGTGTGTTTTGTTCTTGTAGCTCCTCTAGATGTTCCATTATTGTGTTTTTGGCCTCGGCGTCCTCTAGCATCGCTCCGACATCAAACACATTATCCAGATATGCTTGAATCTGCACCTGCAGCCTCTCGCTCTCAGTGACAGTTAACTCCTACACACACACAACCATTCAGACTGCATTTTAGGCTGCATTTATTTGATCAAAAACACAGTAAAAACTAAGATTGTGAAACATTCTTAAAATTTAAATAAACTGTTCTCTGTGTGACTATATCTCAAAATGTAATTTATTCCTGTGATCAAAGCTGAATTACTCCAGTCTTCAGTGTCACATGATCCTTCAGAAATCAGTATAATATGCTGATTTGCTGCTCAAAAAAACATTTCTGATTATTATCAATGTTGAAAAAAGTTGTGATGCTTCATATTTTTTCTGGAAACCATGATACATTTTTTAGGACACTCTGATGACTAGACTGTTCAAAAGAACAGCATTTATTTGAAATATAAATCTTTTGTAACATTATAAATGTCTTTAGTGTCACTTTTGATCAATTTAATGCATCCTTGCTGAATAAAAGGATGAATGTCTTTCATTCTTTCAAAACATTAAACAGTAGTCGCTCACCTCCAGATAGCTGTCTAGTCCTAGTTGTGTAAACTCATGCTGTAAATACACTCGGAAGTTCATGTTCTCCACTGAGTGCACTACAATGTTGATAAACTGCATACAAGCCACCTAGAGGTGACCAGGGGAAAATATATTGATCAGTTTTCCTCGCACTCACGATCCTACATTAAAAAGGTCAATAACAACAGGATAAACCTTAATCTATGTCTGGAATTCCAATGCATTATGTATGTTATGCACGTAATATGGTGAATTTGTGAGAAAATGGTTAAAATACATATTTTAATCATGATTATTAATACGTATATACTTTCTGCTTGTCCTAAAGTGGAAAAGTTCTCAAGAATGACTGATAAATTAAGTCGATGTACAAATGGGCCATAAATATAGATGTCTGTCATGCGCTTTCGTCCTTTTTGGTGAGCTAAATACTGTACAATCAGTGTAAGAATCTGATAAAACGTGAACATTAATACATATGAAGCATTTTATATGTCCTCACCATGAAATCAATGTTGTTGTCATCATTTCTGTAATACTCCATGAGTTTCTCGAATCTGTTTTTCTCTCCACACACCTGCATGAACATACAGACACATTCACAGGTTCCTCAGAGACGACTGTTTACTGTATTTGAGTTTACTGTACACTGCCTCTTACCAAGTACTTGACCATAAAGTAAGAACATTTTACTACATTACGAGACCTTCAGTGGTATTTGATGTCGCAGGATCATTTATCATCTGAAAATATGTTATTGGCTTAATATTCCATCCGATATCTAATTATTAGTTCTTGCTACAGGAAGGCCGTGTTACATTTTTATGCAAAGTATGTGGATTCACAGAAACAATGAGGACATAAGGATGGGAAATCCTTAAGGGAAGGTCTATTTGTTTCGGTTTCGGTTTTAGCTCTAGTTTGCATAGTCCTTTCTGCTGTCACTGATATGCATCTGAATCATCTCCCACACAAAATGTCTTTGTGACAATAAACGCACAGTCCTTCAAAATGACGTCTGTGTGAATGTATGAGGTTGCGAGCTGTGTATGATCTAGTTTTGTCATGTGCAGACGGGTGTAACGGCTGATATCACAGAATGAGCTTTAGGTTACTTGAGTTTAACAGCAGATCAGACACTTGTATCTCATCACGTGTGTCTGCGTTCATTCAGCGTCTGAGAGAATAACTAAAGAGTTTGGGTGAGGTTTTATATCCTTGAAATTAAACTATTAGACATTTTCTGATGAAATGTAAATAGTTTTCACATATTATATTAGAATATTATTACTCATGTATGTGGTCCTAAAAAGAATTTGGACAGTTAAGCCATACTTAAAAATGTATGAATGAATGACGTTTTTTCTTCTTTTTTTTTAAGAATTAAGAAATGTATTTGGATTGATTATGTCTGATTATATTTTATTACTTAACTTTTGTCTTTTTTATTATTTTTATAATACATATTTAGTATTGTACATTTTTTATTATTGATTATTATTGTTATATTTATTATTATATGTTTAGGTATATTGTATTTGATTACATTTTATTAAAACAAACTTTATTATTATTTAAAAAAAATACTATTATTTTTGATCTTTCATCATATTTTATTAAACACAGCTTTTTATTTTTATTATTTGTATGACATATTTAATATTATAATATTTTTTCCTTTTTTAAATATGTTTTCCTTTTTTCATATTATAGTATTTTTTATTACATTATGATTTGGTATATTTGATTGAATTTGGTAAGACAAACCTTTTAGTATTTTTTATAATATACATTTTAGTATTTTTTATAATATATATTTAATATTACAATATTTGTCTTTTTATTCTTTTTAGAACATTTTTGATTTCACTATGTTTTGGTATATTTTGTTTATTTATTTTTTGATTAAGATATATTTCTTGTTGTTGTTTTTTCTCCCCACAGAGTTGAATTGTACACAATAAGACCAAGGAGACACATTGAAGTTGGAGAGATGATGATGATAAGAAGAGTGAGGTGGATGAACAGAGAAAGAAGGCTAGTCTTTTCTTACCTCTTTGAAATTATTAAAGGCTGCAATAATCATTTCGTGACCTCCTCGAACCAAACAGACAGCAGCAAGGAGCTCCAGAACCAGAGCTTTAGTCCTAAACATGAACACACACGTATGTAAGTACAATATTGTAGAAACAAAACACACACACACACACACACACACACAGACTGTTTTCTCACCTGGCATTCTTGTTGTTGAGACTCAGGGTGATTTCATTGACACAGTTGGGATGAGCCATCACCTGATTAAACCCTAACTAACACACACACACACACACACACACACACACATATGAGACGAGACGAGATGAGAGTGAGATGAGAAGTACCTGGTAGTTCATTATGGCACGGAGGCACATAATGCAGAGGTGCAGGTGGTTCTTCTGGCTGAGCAGAGACGAGTATCGCAGAGCTTTCCTGAGCAAAAGAAGTCATGTTAAATATATTAAATATTATAATATTTTTTCATATTAATTTTTTTTATTTAAATGCTATTTACATTTACATGTATAGTAAATTCTTAAATCTTCATGAGGAAATAAATTATTCCGTTTAAATACGAAAAAGTCAAAGTCAGAAACAAATGAATTAAAAGCAGAACTATGTTTTTGTGTAATCTGCCACATCTGGAAATCTCAAAATCATTAAAAGTAAAAGTACTGTATGTGACACAGACGCACACAAACAAACTCTCAAGAAAAGAGATGAGACAAGATTAGAGGAGCAAGAGATGAGAAGTACCTGGTAGTTCATGATGGCACGGAGGCACATGATGCAGAGGTGCAGGTGGTTCTTCTGGCTGAGCAGACGCGAATATCGCAGAGCTTTCCTGAGCAAAAGAAGTCATATTTATAAATATTTGTATTCAATATTAATTTTTTAAATATTATATTTTTTCTTTTTTTTATAATTAGTTTTTTATTATATTATGTTATTTGGGATTATATTTTATTTAAATATTTTAACATCTTTTTAGTATTTTTATTTATTTATTTACTAATATACATCATATTTTTTTCTTTTTATTGTTATATTTGATTATATTATGTAAAGATAGATCATGTGAAACCTGCTCACACGTTCATTGCGATATAAATATTTATGTTTACATATACAGTAAATTCTGTATGAAGAAATAGATGCTTTGGTTCAAATAGGAAAAAAGTCAATATTTTATAGATAAACTAATTAATTAAAAGCTGAATTGTGTAATCTGCAATATCTGGAAATCTCAAAATCGTTAATAGTAAAAGTTAAACCGCGTGTTTTGACCTCAAAATACATTGCAGACATATTTGATGTTACAGTGATAGTGTTTCGCACGTGTGCATGGGTCTGTGAATGTATGTTTCTTTTTGTAGACTTTTTTGTCAGTGTGTGTGAAGCTGGAAATAGTAATGTAGAAGTTATGTTCAATATACAATTATTTGCGAATGATACGGAAACATGTTTTCTTCTTCAGTTCAGGACCAAAGAACTTCAGAACAAATTTCATATAGATCTAAAAATGGCTTAAATAAGAAACAAAATGTATAATTCATAATTTCAGAGTGGTTTATACTCCATAACTGACCTTGTGGTGAAGGGGCGTCCTGAGCGTGGGGAATTGTGGGTAGGGGAGTTTGTCGCACTGGTGGTCAAATCTTCCACAGATTTCTCTTCAAAGCTTCCATTATCAGAGCTGTCCATGTCATATCTGTAAAACACAGTAAGCGTCTGTCTTATGATTCCATGATAATTAAACAGCTGTTTTCAACACTTATAATAATAAGAAATGAGCTACAAATCAGCATATTAGAATGATTTCTGAAGGATCGTGTGACACTGAAGATTGCATCACAGGAATAAATTAAATTTTTTAATATATTCAAATAGACAACAGATTTTTTTTTCAATTGTAATAATATTTCACAATATTACTGTATTTTTTAACAAATAAATACAGCCTTGGTGATAAAATTCTACTAAAATCATCAAAAAGTAGTTTGACCGCCATATAGATGCTCAGGCTGATGAATATAATAGCAGTGTTAGCTAACTGGCATCAGAGGCCTGGTTTCAGACATTGGATGGTCAGAACATGTTCTCTTCCCAGACGCCTTGTCACATTAAGAATTTAGGTTCCTCTATTGTGTCTTGGACAATGTGTGTGTGTGTGTGTGTGTGTGAACATACGTGACTGCACGTTGAGCAAAAGAGAGGTAGTCCACTAGCACGTCTAAACCCTTGTTTTCTTCATTTAGAAACTCCTCAGCCCACCTGAACAGACAGAGAGAACAATACAATGAAGAACAAAAGGAGCACAATTGAGGTCAATTATGAGTGACAAAGTAATTACAGTCCAGTGTCGACACAGATATTTCCAGACTTCCAGGTTTCAGAAACCTGCATTTAAAGGAATAGTTCACCCAAAAATGAAAATTAGCTGAAAATTTACTCACCCCGGCCTCAGGTCTTCCAAGATGTAGATGAGTTTGTTTCTTCATGGGAACAAATTTGGAGAATGTAATGTTGGAGAAATTAAAATTACATCACTTGCTCACCGATGGATCCTCTGTCGTGAATGGGTACCATCGGAATGAGTGTCTATAATCCATAATAATCCATACTGCATTGAAAAAGTCCATCCTTTCCCATCAAAATCCACCAACATATTTGTTTTATACTGTTTTCACTGGTAAATGATGCTCAGTGATTTGTGCATTCGGTAATCTGTGCATATTTCTCTTCTGATTCAGACAAGGCTGTTTTAGGCAGACACAATGGATGGAGAAAGCAATATTATGGATAGAGGACTCTTATTTTAGCCAGAAACAGTGGTTTGAAGTAAAAAAACTTCTTAATGACAGATTTGGCGTGTGGGTTATTTTGGGAATTTTATCAGCTGTTTGGACTCTCATTCTGACGGCACCCATTCACTGCAGAAGATCCATTGATGAGCAAGTGACGTAATGTTACATTTCTCCAAATCTGATGAAGAAACAAATGCATCTACATCTTGGCTGGCCTGAGGGTAAGTACATTTTCAGCAAATTGTGATTTTTGGGTGAACTATTCCTTTAACGTGATAAACTTTGTTTAAAAAAGTCTTTTCATGTATTATATAATCAGGCCAGTAACATGCATTGTCAATAACATTGCATGTCATGTGATGGCTCTTACCCGATGTGATTGGTGCGCAAAGAGATCTCCAACTCTCTCAGAACTTGTGTGGATTCTTGGACTCGCCTTTTAAACTACAAATCACACACATATAATTTTATGAATTAAAATCATTTACATATTTCAGTTTAATAATAACTGGACAAGCTCTGTATCTCACTCGCAGATTTAAACACAGACACATATACAGGCTCAAACATATATCTGTACCTTTCTGCCTCCTCCCTGCTCTAATACACTCTTAAGTTTTTGAATGTATGCTGACGGAGGATTCTTCACCTGGAACCGTTCCTGATGAGAGAAACCAGAAGGAATAGTAATCTCAGCTGTAAAGAGGGTTTTTTTCTGCACTTTTTTCATACCACATATACAATTAGTCACATTTCTTGCATCAGAAGCAGTTTAAATAATTTTTTTTCATAAACATTTCCCACCCTCATGATCTTTAATGTTTCTGTACCTTTAAGACTTTGACGTGTAAATGACGCATGCTATGATTGCCAGCCACTTGCTGAATATTTATTTATGTGGTCATATGGTGGTGACGTGATTTCATTTCAATAAATGCTCTGGGTGAACTGGAGAGAAAGTTTTTTTTTTTTTTTTTAGTATTTAAAGAGCCAGGACAATTGTGTTTTTCATTATATGTCCCCTTTAATGGTGTGATATGTGGTTTAGGGTAGTAAAAACAGCTTTATGGTAAATGAAAACGTGTAAAAGGTAAATGTTTTTATGTTTTTGCCCTGAACTCACCTGGTCACACACTAACTCCCATTTCTTCTCGTTGTCGTACTGACAGAGCAGCTTCACTTTGTCAGGTGGAAGATTCATGGAATTCTACAATCACAGAGCAAGAGACAAATCATCAACCTTTTTGTAAGTCTGAATTCATTTATATTAATTCTACAGAGTCATTAGTTCTATTCCATTGAGGCAAACTCTTAAAAATTATTTTTACAGCACTTTTGGGCTCAGCAAAGAACTTTATTGCGAAGCATTATTCATGGTTGAGTTTTTTAGAGAGTAAGAGTTTAGAGTGTTTTTGAAAGGACGCTGCATTTATTTGATCAAATATACAATAAAATTGTTAATATTTTTTTGTTAAAACTGAAACTTTTTTTCTTAGAATTCTTTGCCAAAAATAAAGCTCAAAAGAACAACATTTGCAAATTTGAAATATAAATATTTTCAATGTATCTGCTTTCACTTTTGATCAGTTTAACATGTCTATGCTAAAGAAAAGTATTAATTTTTTTTCACAAAAAAACAAACAAAAAAAACAATGCCCTGCCAACCACCCATAGCGCCCAAACATCTCAGTGGCAAGTTTTGCACAGTCCACATTTTCTTCCGATCTAGTTGTAATATGTTCCCAGACTATTGCTATGTTTAAATGCAGAGTTACTGTGGCGCCAGTCACACATTACACTTGTTTGCAGATGGTCACATATGAACTGATGAGTAAGCGGCTGTGTCTTGTGAGCCGGTTTACGAGCAGCGGACAGATCACATGTATAATGAGGTATGCTGACTCTAAGAATGCCCTTTCTGAACCGGCAGAATAGTGCTGTGTGAATGTCCTGTTGCTATGACGATCTCCTAAATTATTTATGAACAGCATGAGTGTTTGCATTTGTGTTGCACACACACACACACACACACACACACTGTTATGGCCCTACAGAATTACCTCATCAGTGACTCATCTGAGCATCGGATGATACCGAACACACAGTGTGTGCACGCTGGATGTAAATCCCCTAAAATGTTATGAAAATCATCTTCAAGGTCATCTTCCATTCTCTTATGCTTGCCAAGTCTGCATTTACTTGATCAAAAATACAGTAAACAGTTTTCAATTTAAAAACTATATTTAGAGCTTACACTATTCCTACGTCATTGGCTGGAACGCCACTCTCGTGAACACGAGTACGACAGTTAGCGGAAGCTGGAGATTACGTTTAAAAAGTTTTAAGTAAGGATATTTTTCTTACACAAATGCATCTGTTCGCTTCAGAAGGCCTTTATTAACCCCCCCGGAGCTGTGTGGAGTATTTTTTATGATGGATGGATTCACTTTTTTGGGCTTCAAAATCTCAACACCCATTCACTGCCATTATAAAGCTTGGAAGAGCCAGGATATTTTTTAATATAACTCTGATTGTATTCGTCTGAAAGAAGAAAGTCATATACACCTAGGATGGATGGAGGGTGAGTAAATCATGGGGTAACTTTCATTTTTGTGTGAACTATCCCTTTAAGTTTAATACGTAAGAATAGTGATTTGTTCACATCTCTGACTATGAGCAACATTAAGCAAACACCACTGATTAAATCATTATTTTTCCTCATGGAGAATGTCCCTGGGAGGGTTTGATCAGGTGTTGCTATTCCCTTTGAGGCATTTTGGGAAATTTCATCCTCATATTTCCACATGCCCTACTGTTTTTTTTTTACTTAAAAAGGGGTTTTACTTTCTGCATACAGCTGGTGAGATCCTTTGACAGAATGAAACAGAATGTTTTGCTGTGAAAGGTGACGGGAATTCTCAGTATTTGTTTTGTGTCTGATTCCTTGGCTGTATCTTGCAGCTGGTAGCTCAGGAATCTTATCATTTGTTTTGGGAACTTTGCAAAAGATCTCAACGAACTCTATACTAATATTTAGCCTTTCTTTGACCCGCCTATGAACCCCAGACTGACCAAAAACTCAAGAACTGTATACTAAAAAGCCAAAGCAAATACACTTAACAGTCTAAATATCTATACACGTCAGACCTATTAAATCATGTTTTCTGTGAAAAGTGAAAGGAAAACTTTTGTACCTCTTATATGAAAATAATCGGCTGTTCTTCTGGACTTTCTATTCATCAAAGAATCTTGAATCTTCACAGTTTCCACAAAAATATGAAGCAGCACAACTGTTTTCAACATTGATAATCAGAAATATTTCTTGAGCAGCAAATCAGCATATTAGAATGATTTCTGAAGGATCATGTGACGCTGAAGACTGGAGTAATGATGCTGAAAATTCAGCTTTGATCACATCTTGAATAAATTACATTTTAAAATATATACAAATAGAAAACAGTTATTTTAAATAGTAATAATATTTCACAATTGTACTATTTTACTGCATTTCTGATCAAATAAATGCAGCCTTGATTAGCAGAAAATTAAAAAATATTTAAAAAATCTTACCGACCCCAAACTTGTGAGCTGTAGAGTATGTGACATGTAAAAGTTACATCCAGAATATCATGTTTGACTATTGCTGTCATTTAATTTTTGCGCATATTAAATTACAGTTCTTCACTAAGTATGGCACATTAGCATGGCACAGTATCCTAATTTGCAAAACAGGTCAATGGAAGAAAAAACAGCAATCTGCAGAAATATTGCTTTAGGGCAAACACACACACACACACACACACACACACACAGTCTCTCTCAAACAGTCTTCCTTTATGGAATATCTGCAGTGCAGACAACTCCATTGATTATAATTGTCAAGCTTATAATTGTCAGCTTGCATCTGTCGTGTAGACAGTGTTATCTTTGCATGTTTTAATTCAGATCTCATAGTTTCTTTTGTCTTTATAATAGCTGACCCTTTCTACCTGTGAAATAAGGACAAGGAGGCTGGAGAAAAATAGAATCAAGGACAAAACACTTCCGACTCTTTAACCATCACTGCTTGCTTTATTTATTTTTCTTTATTATCATCTGCCCTTTCTTCGTCCTTTCTATATGTTCTATCCTTGAAAGTTCATAACTGCATCACATGTTATTTTTAATCCTCAAAATACTCAAAATGCTTATATGCAAGTCTGTACACCAATAATTTATGCGTCAATGATCAATGCAGCATACTGTATACTGCAGTACACGTGCAGAGCGTAATACATGTTTATTCAGAGCCGTCATATCACTTTACCTTCAGCAGAATTATGCTAGAAGATTATACTGTTTTCAGCTTATCATATTTGCATGAGTTTTTTGTATATTTGTAAGCCGAATCAGGTACTTTTATAATCACCTCAATGATTTTGTAATATATTTATTTAATAAAAATTTTAAAATTATATTTTAAGACACTTAAAAGGGTTATTAACTAAAACTGAAACTAAAATTAAAACCATTAAAAAATTATTATTATTTAATTTATTATTATTTATTTCAGCTAGTTGTCAAAGCAACATTTCTCATATTATTTTAATTTAACCTGAT